CTTAGTTTGGTAACTCAGTTGGAGCCAAACAGGGCAGCAGAAATGATAGTAACTTCTGAGGCTATAACTTAAGACACTTTGCAGCTTCTACTTTGTAATTTTATAACACTGACCCAAGACCACCATATGATGAAGCCCATCCTTCAATCAACTGAATGGGCTTCATGCAATGGCCTAGAAATAGAAGAAGATTTTCTTTTTTTTTTTTTTTTTTTTTTTGCCATGTAGACAATCAGTGTGCCCCCGGGAGTAGGCAGCAGGAAGATCTGCATGGTCACAGCACCACTGTGCCTTCTCTCGAAAATTAACATCCTCACAAGCAGCTGAATCTAGAAAGTCTGCCTGCCTCTGTGTCAACCATGCTCCACGAAGTTGGGGTGCAGGGGCCCCACCCTGTCTTGGTTAATAAGCTAAGCTTTCTGAGATGTCGAATTTGAGTCAGGAAAGGAGAAGCAGAACAGGGCTTGGTCAAGGTCAGATATCATGAATGACGCACGCAAGATGCAAAAGGCAGGGGTGTGACATCAAAGAACAAGGGCCAACAGGTCAGGTCATGGGGTTGACCCAGGAGGGTGTACCAAATAAAAAAAAAAAATCAGAGTCCTAGACAAACTCAAGGTTACAATCTTCAGGTGTGCACCCTACTGATTGACACTTCTGTCTCTTCCCAGCACGTCAGGAAGCTATAACCATCCTCTAAATGTCCACTGCTGTGTTGCTGGTGGAGAAGAATCTCCTGGGTGTGACGTTCATTGACAAGAGCAACAGGGAAGATGTGTCGGTGAGCTGTCCCTCACTGTGACAATATACCTGAGACAATCGACTTTTATTTTGGCTCATGTTTTCCTAAGTTTCAGTTCATGATCACTTGGCCTTGTTGCTTTTTGGGCCTGTGGCTAGGCAGCACATCATAGTGGGAGCATATGAGGGAGGAAGCTGCTCACCTCATGGCTGCCAGGAAGCAAAGAGAGAGAGGAAAGGCCAGAGTCACATATCCCCTTCAAAGGCGTGCCTCCATGATCTAACTTCCTGCCACTAGATTCCACCCCCTAAAGGTTCCATGACCTCCCAATAGCACCCCAGGCTGTGACCAGGTCTTTTTAATACATGGCCCTTTGAGGGGAAATTGGGTATCATATCCACCCACCTGTAAAAAAAAGAAAAGTGTGTGTGTGTGTGTGTGTGTGTGTGTGTGTGTGTGTGTGTGATGTTTAAAGTGACACACGGATCTCGTATCTGTCATATCTTCCAGGGAGGGAAATGGGGAATGGGAGCCCAGGTAGGTGGACTTAACTTTAATCTTATATTTTGTGTACTTAAAAAAAAAATATCTCAAGGAATTCCTGCAGACCAGTTGTGTCATCTGTAAAGAAAAGGGGATAGTAAACATCATGTCACCCTGAATGACACTAGTTTTCTCTCATGCATGCTGGGAATTAGGCAAGTTATTATTATCTATAGAAAGCTGTTTTTGTTGTTGTTGTTGTTGTTGTTGTTGTTGTTGTTTTTGCATGTAACCCTGGATATTATTCTTTGGGATGCTGGTCATACAAGCAGCAAAGCAAGCTAAGCTGATGTCACTGCTTTTGTAGCTTAGCTTATAAAACCTCTCTCCCTCTACAAATGGAACAAATGTACACCTGTCCAGCTCCTCATCACTGGACAGCTCATTGCCACTGGACCTCCCCCGTGGCATTCCCAATAAACCCTATATCTCAAATCCCATCTCCAGGTCCTAGTACAACTGTTCTACCACAACTGGACAGTAGATGTCCTAGATGGTACACCAGCCGTTCTCAGAATTTATTAGACATGTCAGTTATTGGGCCCCATCCCATATTCAGACCTACGATCTGAATCTCTGGAGGTAGGGCCTAGAAATCTGTGTTCTAACAAGCCCTATGTAGATTTTGATGCATATTTAAGCTTGAGAACCATTGCTCTAGGGCAGGAGTTCTAGTTTCTCAATTTTTTTTTTTTTTTTTGCACATAACAATTCTGATGCCTGGGCTGCACCATAGTCCAAGTAAATTAAAATGTCTGAGGATGAGACCAAGGCGTCCATGGTTTATAGAACTCTCCAAGTGATTTGAACATGTAGTCAAGCAGAAGCAATGCTGTTTTGGCCCACCTTCCTCTAACCCTGGGAAGCACTTCTTAGCCTCTCACCTTTCTCGTTCTTGTCAATGTGACAACCTGTAGTTGTTTCACTGCAACTCTTCCAAGTGGCCCCTAGTTCCAAATTCCCCCACCTTGCTGATTTGAGGAGAGTGCATGGCCAGGAGATAAGGCCCAGTGGTTGAGACTGATCTCAAAGAAAACCAGGATATTTCTGCAGGTGTTAAGGAGCCATCCGAATCCACCCCAGGTCTGGTGCAAGGGCTAAGGGGGCAAGGCTTTCCCAGGACAGGGTGCTTCCTCCTGATGGGGCTCCGATTGCAGCCTCAGGGAGGTGATTAAAGCTTCCCACACCTTCCTCTTTCCTTCAAGGAAGAGGAACATTGATACGGGTCAAGGCCAAAATGGCAGCCTTGAGAAAATGCTCACATTTTTTATAGTGAGAGATGTCAAGGGACCATAAAAAGAAATGGATGGGGTGGGGGCATTTGCCTTTCTTGATGTCTCTTGTGTCCGTACTCTCCCCACTACACACATGAGCTATGGCAAAGCTGAACAGAGGGCCTAGGAGCGTGAATACGTGTGTGTGTGTGTGTGTGTGTGTGTGCACATGTGGGGTTTGCATCCCACTGGTAAAGGCTATAGGAGACCTGGTGTAGGAAGGAGAGGTAGAACAGCCACTGACCAGCCTCTTGGTCATAAGGGAGCTATACCATTAAAAGAGACCAAACACAGTTGTCTTTTCCATAATGTCAGCATTTATTGAATACCAACAAATTTTAAAACTACAAAACTTTCTTTAAGCTACAAAACTTTCATTAAATTTGCAATTCACTGAGTACTCGTGGGGTTGCCTGGTAATCAAGCCAGGCAATCACAGGTTCTTTTTATTCCAATCTTAATTACTGATATCTGTAATAGTCATGTCACATATCACACCCTACACAAAGGTGTGTATGTATGTGTGTGTGTGTGTGTGTGTGTGTGTGTATTTAAGGTGGCCAAAGGGATTCAGGAGGCTGCAATGAGGGCAAAGGCAAAGAGCAGACACAAATGCAAAAATGTTACTGCATGTGGTTAAAGATTCCAAACCAGCAACCAGCTGAAGGACTTGTTCAGGACACAGAGCTTTCAGAGTACAGAACTTATTAGAGGCCAGGGACCAGACCACAGGCCACATTAAGCAGGGAGATCAAGCTGAGATAAAGAGTCAGGTTTGTCAGGTTGACCTCAGGACAGGTTCCTTGATGGCCTGATAACAGGTCAGTACGTGCTGAGAGCCATAGCCAAGTAGGAATGACACATGGCATTTTTGGTTGAAAGGTGACCCCAGCAAGCCATTGAGATGATAATGATTACGTTAAGATGCGCATTCAATTGGAGATTAGACCCCTGCTGTCTGCCTAGGCCTGCTACTTTGCGGGACTCCAGGAAAGTTCCTGTCGGTTGGGGAAGTGTGGTAGGAGGGAATTCCGGAGGAGGGATTTCCTATTGGAGTAGTGTGTCCCGGGAGGAGCCTCGTGGCGTGGTTCTGCATTCCCCCCCGCCCCCCATCGTGTGTGGAGTGTGCTGGTGGAGTTCAGAAATAAAGTTTGTTCCTGCTTCAGTGGCTTGTGATTTGTGCCCAGCCAGACTGCGGCAAGTGTGTGATGCCTCAACTAGTCTCAGGGTGCTTCTCCTTTTATGTCTTTCAGGTGAGGGAGCTACATGTCTTGTGAGATGATAAGCTCAAGGAGCCTGGTTTCTCTGATATGGGTTTGATACGCCCCCTCCATCCATGTGCTTCTGATTTAATTCCATAAGTGAGCACCAATAAGTTATTTATTATTTTGTGTCTTAGGGTGGGGCTGTGCAGAGTGTGGTTGCTGACTTGTACTCAGAATGGAGTAACTCATGCAAACTACTGCTTTATAAAATAGGTAACTGAGGGTTGGGCACAGGAAGGTTAGGAGCTGCTCCCCCCCCCCCTTTTTATAGATGGCTCAGCACAGTGGCAGCACAGATGAGGAGAGCTTCAGGAAGCATCATGGACCAGACGTCTTTCTTTCTTTTTAATAGTTTTTAGTTGTAGATGGACACATACCTTTATTTTCCTTGTTTATTTTTATGTGGTGCTGAGGATCGAACCCAGGGCCTCGCACGTGCTAGGTGAGCGCTGAGCCCCAGCCCCAGCCTAACCAACCAGACGACTTTCTTTGTGCCAGAAACTGACATTTTTCATGTTCAAGTTGACCCCAGCCTCCTCTGTGAGCGCGAGTGTTCATTATTCTCATTTGACAGAGTAAGAACCAAGACTTAGGCAGGGGCAGTGACCTGCTGGGATTTGAACTTGGCCTGTGTTTGACTCCTGCCTAAACTCAGCCGACTCACCTGTATTCCTTCCAGGCTGGAGATTTCTGGAGATGAAACTACTCTGGGAGGTTTGGCAGAGAAGGGACGGGGGAGCAGAGAGAAGAGGGGCAGTGGGCAGATGTGGAGTAGATTAGAGGTCCCAAGGACAAGCTGCCACCTCTTTCTGTTCTCATTTATCAGCCAGATGGTTCTGAGGAAAAAGACTCAAGGTTCTGGTTTAAATCATTTCATTTGCAATTTAGAAAAAAAAAAAAAAAAAAACAAAGTCAACCCACTGACCACAAGAACTCTCTGCCAGGCCTCCTTCCCACACATACACATCCAATTGCTCCACAAGTTCTGGGGACAGCTCATTGTCACATACCTTGCGCAATTGAACTCCACCCAACCCAATCCGCCCAATTCCTTCCGGGCAGAGCTCCAAGGAGAAGCCTGGAATTGGAATTGTAGCAGGGTGAGCCCAAAAAATACTTGTAGTGAAATTGACCTCCAGGAGTTGGCCACTGGTGGGCGTAGCAGCCATTCATGAATACCCAACCATACAAAAAGAAGAACTTCCCCCTCTTCTTGTCATTCTGAAAGACTGCGAGACCTGACTCCAATCTCCATCATCTCACAGGAAGCTGAGCGCTTCCTACTTGGTCTGGACCTTGAATCTTGAGTTCATACTCTGAAAGTTCCAGTAACCGAAGCCTTGTGGACAAAGTGCCCTGGAACCAGAGTAAGTGACATTTGTCTTTTCTGTGTTCTCAGTTGCTCTTGCTTAAAGATATGCTTGGGGAATGATGTGAGGTCTCGGGAGATGTCTAAGTACTCCACTGATACATCTGTATACAGGCAATTAATAGAATTGCAATACTGAGGATACTGGAGACTTTATAAGGCCAGGTACTCAGGCCAGGCGTAAAATGCTAAAAAGAAAGCTTTCTTGAACGTTGTTGGTGACTGATAAAGAAAGGTAGCTAGTGTGAAGAGACAAGAGGTGCTTTCTGTGTGAAGTTATTTAAGAAGAAATTATTTGCCATTTCTCCGTGTAAAGGCAAACCAAATATGGTATATGAGAAATTGTAGCAAGAGGAAAATATCCCTTAGAAAAAACATTGCAGATACTTAATCAATTTCTTAACTGGAACCAAAGATTTTCAAAATCAGGTCTGCTGACTATCTTTTGAGGAGGCAGGATTTGCCCACCCTGCAGGCAGGGAGCTGGCCAGATGGCCTCTCGTGCATCCATTCTGTTCTACTAGCAAAGACATTTTGCTAGTAGAACAGAATGGAATTTGCCCTGAAGATAGAATTTGCCCTGAAGATAGAAGGAAACAGCAGCCACCTGCAGGTATCTACTCCCACTTTTCCTCCCTAGAGGGATCTTAGAGGGTTGTAGATATTCAAAGAGGAATTGGAAACTCCCAGAAGCTTTCATAGCCTGCCACCAGGCTAGGTGCCCGTCACTGATTTTTCATCAAAGAGGACAGCTCTGAGCTGTTCAGTCTCTGAGGCCTGGGCAGTGATGGGTTAGTAAATGTGTAACAGTGACTTTTCCCTAAAAAAAGATCCCTGTGTTGTGGCGTCTGCCAATTTCCATGGTGTAAATACTGCTTCTGTGGTCAATTTCAAGCTACTAACATGCCGAATGTGAGTCGGGAAGAGATGTGCACCACTTTCTCTTATAAAACAGTTAAGCTAGCCAAAGACACTAGTGCTGGAAGGTTCCACGCTCCAAGGCGATAGCCGACCATTGTGCAATGACCTTGGGGTCGACTTTTGTAGCAGACTCTTCGTGGGCCTGGAAGATTCAATGGTGACATGGTCTTTTGGTTTCTCCTCCAGAGCCCCCGCTCCATCAGCTTCCTTTGGGAGTAGCAGAACCTGGAATGGTCCTGACAAGTGAGGGCAGTTGTCAACAGGGCCAGAGGTCAGGGCAGTATATGGAGGAGGCTCTGCTCAATATGGTACCTGACCACGAAAGTTAAGCTTGCTTTCCCTTTTGCCAAAATCCCCCAGAAACTAGGCTCATGGGGACAGCTTTGCATCCCAAGTTTTTTAGCTTTCACTGTAAACCTACCAGCCCACCTCAAAGGGCAGGCACGGAGCCGTTTGCTCTGGTTAGCACTAGCAAGGGCAATGGAGGGCAGAAATCACTAGTGCAATTTCTTTGGAGCCTACCAAAATGAGAACCAGGGCTGGTCAGGCAGAGATAGAGGAGGGAGCCACAGGGATGGAGTGGTCGGAAAATGAAAGCCCCCCCACTTCTCACCCTAACAAAATATCTCACCTTCCACCCAGGGTGCCCGACACCCATCATATGCCTTAATCTCCAATAGTCACTGTAGAAAATTGAATTTTTAAATTTTTTAAATTTTTATTTATTTATTTATTAGCAGGAAAGATTTCTTAAGTACAGTAGAAGCATTAAACACCTGGATTCAAGACAGGAAATGGTAAAGTAGGTGTCTCCTACTTTACTGATTGGGATTTGGGCCAAATCAATTCTGGTTTTTAATTTTCCAATATTTTTATTTTTAATTGGCACACAGTAATTGTCCATATTGAGAGAGCACATTGTGACATTTGAATACATGTATATAACCTATGATGATCAGCTAAGGGTAACCGGCATATCTATTGCTTCATGCCCGGAACATTTGAAATTCTCTATGCTATCTATTGTGAAGTATTCACCTATTTGTTGTCAGCCATGGTCACCGCACATTGCCGGGGCACTCTAGAAGTTAGTCCTTTCCTACACCCAGTACCCATCGGCTGCCCTCTCTCTACCTCCTCCCCACACCACTCCTGCGGCTATTCTACTCTCTACCTCCGTGTCATCAATTTTATAGAAATTGTAAAGTGTCATTCATATGGAAGGGACTGTCCTTGTCACTGTCAAGGAAAATCACTTTCTAGATTATCTACCAAGAAACCTAGCAAGGGGGATTTGCAGGGTGGGATACAGACACCAGAATAGAATTGAAATATAAGACATCCTGGTAGGAACATCATGGTGGGGACTGGTCCCAGAAAAAGGCCACTGCAGGAAAGGTCCCCCTGATACTGAATGCCTGGTAAGTGCTGGGGGGCAGGAAACTTTTCTCATCTGATATCTCACAGTAACCCTGCAAGGTGAGATCCGCTCTTCCATGTTACACACCAGGGACAGAGGCTCAGAGAGGTAGGTTAATATATCCAAGGTTACGCAGATGACAGGTTCCACCAAAACCAATGCTCCCTTTGTAGAAACATCTTCAATAAGCGACAGGAAAGTATTCAAAAGGTGGGCTAGAAAATGGGGACTGGGACAGGCCATCTAGTGGTTCTCTTTCATTTGTTTCAAAGCAATTCTGTGTGAGGGGGAATCTCAGAGCTTATTTCAATAGAATCCCACTGTCCATCTGGTCCCCATGTGACATCTCCTTATGACTCAAAGGTATTCTGAGCATTTTCTTCCTGACTCCCAGTCTTCTGTCTCTAGTCACCACCTTCCTCCTGGCCTGTGCTTCCTCTGAATCCTCCCCAAGGCTCCTACAGGAGGTCTGTGGAGTCACCTGCAGCCCGGCCGGGTGCCACATAAGGGCCATGCAACATGGACAAGGCTGAGCCCATTCTGGTGTCCAGTGTCCTCACCTGTGGAGTTGACTGCTAGGGCTTCATAGTGGCAGCTTATTGGTGTTTGGGGTAAATTATTTTTTGCATTATGGGACATCCTTGGCTCTGCCTATCAAATGACAGTAGCATCCACCAGTCTTTATGACCAAAAAAAAAAAAAAAAAAGAAAAAAGAAAAAGAAAGAAGCCTGCACATTTTTACTCTGTCACCCTTGGCTGAGACTTTTTAAACCCCAAAGCCATGAAAAACGATTTGTGAGCTTTTAGTTCTCAGCCAGGACCATTTTCCTTCCCAGAGTCCTGTGGGCTCCAGGGCACAGGGCCATCACTGTGAGCAAAGGCAGGAAAGCTCAGTGGTTTGGGGGTTGGGCCCTGAGAGTCCCCCACGCCTGGCTCTGAGCTTCCACTCTTATTCTTGCAGGTGTGTCCCTGGGCATGTTTCCTAACGCTCTGGACTTTGGTGTCATCTCCTCTAAAGTGGGAATAATAGTATGCCCTCTCAAGAGTCATTGAACACTCACTCAGCCTGGTGCCTTAGCCCTTGGGAGGCACTTTGTGAATAGCATGGCACCTGCTCCCTTCCTCTGTGATTTCAATCCACTGAGCTTTTCCTTTACAGCACTCACCACCTAAGGGACTGAAAAATGATCCATGTTCTCATCTGTTGCCTGTTAGACTGCAGGTCCACAAGGGCAGAGGGGACCTGGGTCTCTCTTGCTCACCATTCCTTGCTCCGGGCATGGTAGACAATAGGCACTCAGTAAGCACTTATCAGTGGTTGAAGAAATGTAACCACTATCTTGTCCTTGTCACACAGAGCCCACCGCCTTTAATAGCAAAGTCAATCGAGAGATCATTGTCCTGGACCCACGGAAGGAGCCAGGATGGAGTTTATCACCACTACAGAGGACTACGAAGTGACCACTGAATATGACTATGGGGACACAACCCCGTGCCATAAGGCGGATGTGAGGGCCTTTGGGAGCAAACTGCTGCCCCCTTTGTACTCCCTGGTCTTTGTCATCGGCTTGATTGGCAACATCCTGGTGGTCCTTGTCCTCATGCAGCACAGGAGGCTCCAAAGCATGACCAGCATCTACCTCCTCAATCTGGCCATCTCTGACCTGCTCTTCCTCTTCACGCTGCCCTTCTGGATTGACTACAAGTTGAAGAACAGCTGGGTTTTCGGTAGTGCCATGTGCAAGCTGCTTTCGGGGTCTTATTACCTGGGCTTGTACAGCGAGATCTTTTTCATCATCCTGCTGACCATCGACAGGTACCTGGCCATCGTCCATGCTGTGTTTGCAATACGGGCTCGGACTGTCACCTTTGGCATCATCACCAGCATCGTCACCTGGGCCCTGGCCCTCCTGGCTGCCGTCCCTGGCTTTTACTTCTCCGAGACCCAGTGGGAGTTCACCCGGAACACCTGCAGCCTCCACTTCCCTCACCAAAGCCTCAAAGAATGGAGACGCTTCCAGGCTCTGAAACTGAACATCCTGGGGCTGGTTCTGCCCCTGTTGGTCATGATCGTCTGCTACACGGGGATCATCAATATTCTGCTCAGTCGGCCCAATGAGAAGAAGGCTAAGGCCGTCCGCTTGATTTTTGTCATCATGCTCACCTTCTTCCTCTTTTGGACCCCTTACAACCTGACTATGTTTGTCTCTGCTTTCCAAGAGCACCTGTTCACCAACCAGTGTGTGCAGAGCAGGGAGCTGGACATGGCCATTCAGGTGACCGAGGTGATCGCCTACACTCACTGCTGTGTCAACCCCGTCATCTATGTCTTTGTGGGCCAGCGGTTCCGGAAGTACCTCCGCCAGTTGTTCCACAGGCACGTGGCCGTGCACCTGGCCAAGTGGCTGCCCTTCCTCTCTGTGGACAGGCTGGAGAGGGCCAGCTCTATGACTCCATCCACGGGGGAGCATGAACTCTCTGCTGGGTTCTGACTCACACCCATGGAGGGCAATCTAGGTGCCAGTGGGACTGACCTGCCCTCCCATGTACCTCCAGGACAGGATGAGGAAGCAACACAGCCCTCCCAGCTTGATTCTGACACCTGGCACAGCATGGAATTATAGACACTTGGGCTTAGGGGATCTTAAAGGTGGTGGTCTAGACTAAGTTACTTCTGGGGCTTCAATCTTTTCATGAACTTCTCCCTGGTGGACAATGTGTAACAGGGAGGGGCTTGTGTTGAGAGCCACAGCCAAAGGGGCCCCAGCAAACTTCCAGCTGCCAGCAAACTTCCAGCTGCCAGCTGATGATTGGCTCACAGCGGGCCCAGCAACATCTAGCTGATTGGCTCCTCTGTGGTGATGTTCATTGTGCTATTTCCCCGCCCTTCAGACTGCCAGCTGATGATTGGCTCACAGCAGCCCCAGCAACATCTAGCTGATTGGCTCCTCTGCAGTGATGTTCATTGGGCTGTTTCCCTGCCCTTTCAGACCACGGAGCTGCTCATTGGGGGACTTCTTTGGCTCCGCCCACGCAACCCAGCCAATCGGCCTCAAGAGCAGGAGGATTGTGGGAGGTGGTGAGGCTGGTGTGTGGGTGAGAGGCTTGTGGAAGCCAGTGGTGGCAGTTGGGCTCTGAGGGTTTTTTCCTGAGGAGCTGTTTTGTTTGGCATTTGTAGTTCTAAAAATAAAGTTAGTTTCTTTTGACAAGTGGCTCCTGAATTGTGCCCAGCCAGACTGCGGCAGGCTTGGACAGCAGATTTGAGTGATTTGCTAATGCATTTGCAAATAAAGCCACTGCAGTACCAGATCCACCCACTTCCATCCACCACCAATGCATTGGAAGCAGTGATTTCCACAGCTGACTCTATGCTGAAACCTATAGCCAGTGAGTAGCCAGCAGGTGTCTGTCCCCATCCACCCTCACGGTAGGGTCTGGGCTCTTGGAAGTCCTAGGGAACATGGAACTCAGAGTGAAAGAACTTGAGACCTAGTGGGAAAAAGGATTTTTTTTTTTTGCAGTAGAATAAGAAAGCCCTTAGAATTTGATATTTGCTAAAATCAAATACTTCAGCAGTAGGCTGAACGTAAACCAGACTGTGCTTCCTCATAAAAGGAATTGATTCCTCACTTCCATTTACTGTTCTTTTCTTTCTAATTATTTTTTTCAGAATCCCCCTTCCTTGCAAATTGAATGTGTTGGTAAATTCTGACAACTTTATTGCGGAAATCAATTAACAGGTGAAAGGAAGCAGGGTTGGTTTTCTTCCTACCGATTCTCCATCCAAACATTTTGGGTTTATGGATTCAGAGCTGTGATTGCCCCCATTGGGTCTCACAGCAGAAAAATGACTCCTGTACCAATTGGCAGTGTCTGAGGCCGGAAGGGAGGATGCCCACAAGGAAGAGGCCCAGCCTTGGGGGTGGTGTGGTGGGGCCTCCATCTTGGTATGAGAGGCTCAGGGGCCCTTAACACAAAGCCGCTCATGTACCCGAAATTTCCTTCACACTTCATGTCTACCCAAGGACCTCCCATTTATTCTTCATAGTCCTCTTTTCCCTCAGATATATATTTCTTTAAACTTCATTTTCCCAATAACAAACAATTGTTCTAAGAAAAAAAAAAAACACCAACATGTCAAGGAAAAAGAAAACCAATACCGAAATCATACCATCATCTCACTATCCAAAGACAATGTATTTTCATTTAATTGTTTTTCTGTGTGTATTTATAACAGAGATGCACTGGAGTTGTACTCACTACTCTGTTACTGTTGTGTTTAGTTAGCAATATGCTGTGATCACGTCCCTAGGACAATAAATCATTCAAAGCCTTGTTTTGGATGCCCATACTGAAGTCCACGGTAGGGATGCTCCATCTGTTTCTCCATCATGGTTTGCAAAATCGATTTGATCCAGCAGTGGTGAGGACCTGCTGCATTCCAAGGACACTCCTGGAGCCGTGGGAGACACTGGTGTGCCAGGAGAGCCTGTTCTTGCAGAGTGCTCAGCTCAGTGGGATGCACAGGTACAGAGATGCTAACAGAGTGCAGGCCAGATGGGTGGGGGCAGCTGTGGAGCTTCTGGTGCCAGGACAGCAGTAGGCTGAACGTGTAGACCAGACTGTGCTGGGGTTGTAGCTCAGAGGTAGGGGGATGGAGAGCATCCTAAACTGATGCATGTCTCACATTAGGATGCAGTGACAACTTCCGCCCTCTCCCATTTTTACGGACACTACAGTTGTATTCTTACCAAGCCATCTTCTCCCTTTAGATCAGGACTGGGGACTGATGGTGTACACATGTCATCTTTGAACAAAGAGGCTGGTGTCATCATAGTGTGGAAAACTTCTACTGGCAGGGAGGGGGTCACACTCAGGTGGATATCAGCTCTCCATCTGAAAAGCCATCAGCCAGCCCTCTGCAGAGTGGAGAGGAGGCTCAACTGGATTAAGAAACATCTGTCCACCACACCTCATAAAACAACTGCACCAAAAAAAAAAAAAAAAAACAGCATTTGAGCCATAGTGATTTTGTAACAGGGAATGTTACCCAATATCCTCCAATTTCATTTTTGAAGCAATTCTTACCTCTCCCCTTGTTATAAAGGCAGTTTGTGTTCAATGGTAGAAAACCCAGAAAAAGCTGAAAAACACAAAGAAAAAAAAAAAATGAAAACCCAGAACTCAAATCTGGCCTCTCTAAGCATGTTCGTGTTCTGATGCATCTTCTTTCATGCTGTTTCCTAGGTGCACACACATAGGTACACGATCACACGCAAGATCTTTGTGTATGTGTGTGTGACTTCAGTCATGTTTGACACACACGGTAAGTGCAAAGTAAACGCTGGTTGAATGGAGGTCAACCAATTTCCACATCTATAAAGTGAGGCTCAGGAGGCTGTTCTGAACATTAGATGAAATAAAGCAAGTGAAGCGAGACAGTCTTCCTCCAACTTGACGTGGTCAGACTTCTGACTCCTCCCTGCCCACACCTTCCTCCTTCACCCAAGACACCCAGCTCTTCCACTCCACCTCCTCTTCCCAGGAGCCTGTGTTCCTGGGGCTCAGCCCCAGCTTCCTTGTTATTTGCTCCTACTTCATTTCCCCCACTTTGTCTTTTCAGAGGGGCTGCCAGGAAAGCATAAAGAATTTCCTCAGCCCGTCCAAATTCCCCATTGGTTGCCAATATTTTGCCACATTTGCCTTAAATTTATCATCTTAGGAGAAGGAGAGAGATTTGTTTTATAATATCCTCCTGCACCATTTGAAAGCCAATTGTGAGCCCAGAGTATATACCACCTTGAGCGCTTCATCGGGTTATTACCATTGAGAAGGATGTTCTCTCACCCAACAAACAGGAAACAGCCCTGTACAATATCACCAGAGGATCTACAACCCTCTTTCCAATTTTGCTCACTTGGCAAATAACATCATTTATAAACCCTGGATCCAAAATCGCTGATTTAACTTGGTTGTCTGCCTCCCCGATTTCTTTCAATCCAGGATCCCAAGCTTCTTTAGACATTTATGGACTTTGGCATTTATGAGCACCACAATCAGCTGGTAGACCATCCTTCAGCTTGGGTTTACTGATGTCTGATGATTAGAAGCAGGCTACCCAGCTAGTGCAGATGCTACCCAATGGGACAGATGCTGTGTTCATAGCATATTAATATGCCTTTCTTGTAAATTGATCTCAGAGTCACTAAGAAATATATCACAACTCTTTTTTTCTCTATCGATGAAGAAAGTCATGCTTTTTTAAAAATTTTAAATTTGTTTTAATTAGTTACACATGACAGTAGAATGCAACTATGCACTTTGATATACATAGATGGGGTATAATTTCTCATTTTTCTGATTATACACATTGTAGAATCACATTGGTTTTACAGTCATATATATATACATAAAGAAATCATGCCTGTTTCATTCTGCTATCCTTTCTATTCCCATATCCCCTCCCCTTCCTTTTCTTCACTCCCCTCTACCTAATCTAAGTTAACTCTATTCTTCCCTAGTCCTTAGTTAACTCTATTCTTCCCCAACATGATTTAGCACCTGCATATTAGAGGAAACATTTGGCCTTTGATTTTTTGGGGATTGGCTTATTTCACTTAGCATAACATTCTCCAGCTCCTTATTTAAATTACCTTATTTAAAGCTGAGTAACATTCCGTTGTGTATACACACCACATTTTCTTTATCTATTCAAGGACACCTAGGTTGGTTCCATAGTTTAGCTATTGTGAATTGAGCTGGTATAAACATTGATGTGGCTGTATCCAAGTTTTCTAAGGCATCTCCACATTGCTTTCCAGATTGATTGCACCAACTTATAGTCCCACCAGCATGGAACCTTTTCCCCAAAATCCTCACCAACACTTTTTGTTGGTTGTATTCTTGATAACTGCAATTCTGACTGGAGTGAGATGAAATCTTAGGGTAATTTTGATTTAAATATGCCATTCTCTTGTCATCTGGACACCATTGTCTCTGATGAGAAGTCAGCAGTTATTGTGTCCTTGTTACTCACTCTATGAAATGTGTCATTTTTCCCCATGATGACTTTTAGTACTGTCCCTCACCTTAATTTTTAGCATTTTGGTTTTATTTGTGTTTATCTTGTTTAGGGTTTATAAAACTTACTGAATTTTTAAGTTGATCTTTCCCCAATTTGAAGTCATTTAGGTCTTCAAATACCTCTTTAAAAAAATTCTGATCAATTTTCTCTCTCTTCACCTTCTAGGATTCTGATTATACCTTCATTAAACTGCTTAATAGGGTTTCTAATGTGGTTTTTTTTTTTTTTTTGGTACTGGGGTTGGAACCCAGGGATGCTTAACCACTGAACCATGTCCCCTTTTATTTTTATTTTGAGACAGGGTCCCACTAAGTTGCTTAGGGCCTTGCTGTGTTGTCGAGGCTGGCCTTGAACTTGCAATCCTCCTACCTCAGTCTCCTACCACCACCACCATCACCACCACCCATTGCCCGCCCTGAGCCAGGACATCTGCCTCCCCTTTTAAGTTCCTTTTTTTTCCTTCTTAAGATGTGTTCAGTAATTTGCATTCAAATTTACTGATGAACTTCTATTGCCTCTACCATGCTGTTAATTACCTGTTAATTCACCTCCAGTGAATTATTTCAGATACTGCACTTATCATTTCTAGAATTTCCATTTGGTTCTTTAATATTGTTTCCATTTTCCCACTGAGATTTTTACATCTGTTCACTTATTATAACCATTTATTATTTTAAGTTCTTGATTTTAATAGTTGATTCAAAGCCCTAAAGTGCTAGTTCTAATTTCTCAAGTTATCTTGGAGTTTGTCTTTAATTAAC